AAATGGAACTGGAACTTCCTTTTCTTTTCCTTTTAATTTCTTTAAATCAACATGAATCTTTTTTTTAGCAGTGAATCAAATTTATCAATCTCTTGGTTTGAACATTCATCGGAATTCATATAGGCAGAGAAATCCATCTCATCGAATGTTTTCACTCTATCATCTAAAAAGGTTGAGCCAGAAGTAGATGGCATATCAGGGTTAGACTGTTGAAATGTATTTCCCACAAAAGCTTATAAGATTTATCTGAATCAGAAGAAGAAGGAACATTTTGAGGATCTTGAACTTGTTTTTCTTTAGAAGCCTTTGAAACAGAAAGTTCAAGATCTTTAATCTTTAAAAGCATTTGATTATGTTCTTCTTCAAAAACATTTTTTATTTCGTAAATCTTTTCTTTCAGAAAAGGTGGAACATAAACTTCTAGTTCAATATCATTTTTTGTATATACGGATTGATTGTGGGAAAGTTCTTTTCCTTAGTGTAGCTTCTAAAGTAGTAATTCAACAGAGAAGATGTAGAAGATGTTATGGAGGAGTACTGATGTACATTTCAAAAGACAAAGCTTACGAGATAAAAGTGTCATGTTTAAAAATAAAGTGATTATGTTGAGGGGGAGTTAAATTTGGTTATAATGAGTCAGTTTGTAGAAGAGAAGGATTTTATCTAAATCTGTTGAGTCTAAGGTTGAAAAGCCTTTGGATTCAAAGATTTTTTATGCGATTAAGAGATTTGTGCTATACTGTTGAGATTCATTGTTGATATATCTATGAAAGATTAATTAGAGTTACAAAACAAAGTTGTTTGAAAAGTTCGTTGTTGAAGTTGGATTATTTCAAGATATGAAGGTGATAAGCTTAGTATATGCAGTGTCAAAGCTCCAAGCCTAAATGTATATGGCTTAACTCTTGATTCAAAAGATTTATTTGAATATCTAATGATCGTTTAAAGATTCAAAGATAAAGCTTCTGAAGTTTTTGAAGATTGTTTCAAGCTGATTTCAAAGTGAAGATTTATTTCTGAAGTTTGTTTTGTTAAATGAGAGATTGTTATTCATCAATTCATCTTGTTTAAAGATTGACATAGTATGATCATCTTCATTAGGGGAGATCGTTAAGTCAAAGATCTATAGAAAGGCTTTGTTACGAAGATTGTGATCTCGAATACAAAGGGAGAGATTGTTTTGGCCAAATATTATTGTATTCAAGATCATCGAGCTTGAAGATATTTGTAATGAAGATTGGTCAAAGCCTAAAGTCAAAGAGTCAACCAAAGTCAGCATATGAAGAGCTTAATTGTATTTTACATGTTTTATTAGCGTAGGATATAAATACCTTGTTTGCTTGAATTTGGAATAGAGAACTTTCATTGTAAATCATAATCGTAGAGTTTAGAGAGAGAATATGTTCATCACTCTCATTCTAACTTTCTCTCTCTAGAAATAGTAATATACATGATGAATGATTCATGAGATTGTGGTTAAATTATATTGTTACTTGTTTAAATCTAGGATTATCAGAATTCCATTACAAATGTATTTAAGTAATGTGTATGTTCAAAAACTCTAGAATCTACAACTATTTATGCAAGTAAAGAAAAGATCTAACTAACTATACATGATAGTTATTAAATCTACAAAATTGTCAAGTGATAAACTACCACCTGGCCTTATATCCTCAGGTTTATACTTGAAAAGTCTTCAAAGCTTGTAGGGGAACAAAGAGTTGGATGGATAAGATCTTCTTCTGGATATTCTCTAAGGCACAAGTCTGGATCAACAAGGTTAGACTTCTTTAGATCTCTGGCTCTTCATAGTCAGATCTTCCACTCGCCTAGTCAGATCTTTGACCTTTTTTTGATACTTAGGTGCCGTTTATCAAACGCTTACCCGAGTAAGCACTTACCAAGTCACTTTACTTTACTGGATGAATATGGCTAGGACTAAAAATCTTACCCGGTAAGAGCGAAGACAAGTATCGAGAGTCTTACCCGGTAACTGAGGACAAGGACTCTTACCATGGTTAGCGCTTACCGGGATAAATTGTTGCATAGAATGCGTTTTAGTGAATAAAATCTTACCCGATAAGTAAACAATTGTGTTGAATTTTACCGTAAGTGCTTACCAGGTAGGTGTTTAGGTAAACGGCCCCTTAGACTTTTCTCGGATAGACATTTCTCTTTGTCAAGTATAAAGTTGGTGAGATTTGTGTATCTTCAATTTTATTGGTCGTAGTCTCGATAACTATCCGATCAAGTAGTGACGGCAACAAGTTCTCAAGTATCGAGGATCGCAATCCCATCCCCATCCCCTCTTTAATCCCCGTCCCCATCCATGTCGGGAAATAAGATTTCATGTCCATCCTGATTCGGGAACGGGATCCCCATGGGGGAATCGGGGATTTTTCCCCATCTATGCAATTTAATTCTTTATGTAATGTTTTATATATTATGTATATAAATGCCAATTTTATGTTTTAAATGACATATAATGCTAAAATACTAATTATCCAAATTGTAAATATTGCATTTGTATAAGGGTAATATTAAAACATAGTTCAAACTGAAATATATCAAGTTAATAATTGAAGTTTTATGTAATCATGTCGTTATTTTAAAAAAAAAATTCAATGAACAGCCAAATCAATAATGTAACTATTTACAAATTTTCATCATGGAATAATTGATTTATATATATATATATATATATATATATAAATATATATATACTCATTAGGTTTCTCACAACACTTAATACTCGAGGTTGGATTTGGGGTCGGGTTTGAAGGGTATCCCCATCCCTGGTTTATAAATTGGGGGATTCCCACCCCATCTGTGGTCAATTCAGGATTCCCAAGTCAAAACGGGGTCGAGTATTGGGTTTCGTAGGTGCACGGTTTTTTACCATCCCTACGATCAAGAATTTTGGCTACTTAGGGAGAAGGCATGGTGCGTAATTCAGATAGTAGATCTTTAATCGACATCAGTTGATATACCTCTTGACATATTGGATATTGCTGATCTAACTGAGTTCATACCAGACCGATCTAACTGAGTTCATACCAAACCTTTTACATGTAAAAGAACCAAAAGTTATAGAAGTACAAAATGACAAAGTATTAGAAGATTATTCAGAGGGTTATCAACAAATCTATCAGTGACCTTATAAAGACTAAAAGAAGTACACTGGTAAGAAGTAGTAACATGTCGAAAGGGCCTAAGGACTATTGGTAATTAACTTTGTTAAAGATGGTATAAGAAGCACTTCATATTTTCCTATTAATATTGCCTAAATACGTCTTTTGCCGAAAAAATTATGAAAGAATGTTCATCGATAGTCCACACTATATGTTGTAAAACTTGATTTCTCTTCTTGAAAGTTATAGGACATATTAGTTACAGTGTTCACTCGTTGCTCATATTTTGTTTATGAATGAATGAATGTTAATCAAAGTATATCCAATATACGAATGTTTGTGAATTTTGTTTATGAATGAATGAATGTTAATCAAAGTATATCCAATATACGAATGTTTGTGAATTTTGTTTATGAATGAATGAATGTTAATCAAAGTATATCCAATATACGAATGTTTGTGAATGTATCAAGTACTAATCAAACTCAATTGAACTCCATCAAGCATCATCAATTAGAGCAAATCTATAAAATATGGAGGATCAGTTTTGTATACGATACATGCTCGTGGGAGAAGCTCTAAGAAATAAATATGAAAATAGAGTGACAGCGAAAGACCCTCTAAGAAATAAATATGGAGGATATCTCAACAATAAATAATAAGAGTAAACTCCATCTCTATCCCTATGATTTGTTAAAAATTGCTATTTTTGTTCATATGCTTTCGAAATTATAATTTACATTATCGTAATTTTCAATTCATTATTTTTTCGTCCTTTTTAGTTTATAATTCATTGTTTTTCACCCGTTATCGTTTACAATTCATTGTTATTTTCATCTTGCATACTTAACGGTAAATCACTAACGTAGCTTCAAGGATGGAAACAACAATAAATTCCAAACCATAGGAATGAAAATTATGATTTCGAAAATACAAGCGCGGAAACCGCAATTGCTAACGGATCATTAAAACAAAAATCATTGTTTACTCAAAAAATTAGGAAAAAAACCGTATTTTCAAATGATATCGAGCATATTTTTGATAGAGGGTGTCTCATTGATCATAGAAACCCAAATTTGCCATTAGAATCTCTACTAAGGATCTACTTTCTTTGATCGTAATTTCAAGAGATTCTTTAAAATAGAGAATGAAATTTCAAAATCACTAAAATAAAAATACATTCCAACTGTAACAGGTTTATCATTTTAAATATTGCAACTTTGATAATATTAATAAAATATTTCATTAATCTAATAAAATGTTATTTACATTTCTAAATATTTATTTTTAGTGTTTCCTATTCATGAAAATATATTAAAAACTATTTTTCTTATTGTAATTATTTTTGAGATGTTCTCCAAATTTAGAAACTATTACACTTTTTCTCTACTTTCTCCGTTCTAGAGAAATGTTTTGGAGCAAAAACATGCCCAAAATCTCTGTTTTCTCTATTTTAAAAAAAAATTTATTATAACATCTCTACTTTGGCAATAATCAATATCTGTGTAATCTTTCGTTTTTTATTTCGTGATTTTTGGCCACCTGCCAAAAACGGATCCAACCATAAAAGGCCAAATTTTGCACGTGTGAGGATATTAATAGGATAAAATATTTCAAAATACAACAGAGTTTTTTAGTTTACTTCTTATTTATTGTAGCGAATATTTTCCTTGCCTTAATCGATGTAACAAAGTTGCAAAATTTCTTATTTTCTACACATTTTAATCAGTAACCTACCAATCATGTAACATTTTATGATGTGGATACCTATTTACGAAAGGGTTACAAGGAAACAAACGAGAAACTTGACATTTACGTCATTAAATGTTACAAGAGCATCAAATTATCGGTCAAAGAATGGCTTCATAACATGAAATGTTGGAACTTAGTTACATTAAATAAAATTTTTGAAACTATGTTACATGGATTGATAAAAAGATACTCTTTGTTACATTAAATAGGAACCGAGACAAACTTCATTCCATTTTGCCAATTGAATAATATTATCGTTTTCTGAAAAACATGTGTAAACAATGTGTTTGTGATTTGCAACCCTCTGCAATGACTACGTACTTCATGTATAATAACTTCTAAGGTTGTTCTTTGACCGTTGCAATGTAAAGTCTACGCATAATGATGTTTGATCATTAAGCGGTTACCGTGATCGAGCTACTAGCGTGGCATAAATGAGTTCATTCCAAGCATCGGGGACTCCTGGAAGACACCAATGGCTACAATCTTCCTTTTTAGTCGACACTTTTTTCAGACCAGTCACGTTTTTGCCATAAACCGATGGGTGACCATCTTTACGAAAATTGGTCAACCTTGTAACATTTAAAACTACAACTGGGAATCGCATTTCTTGGATCACTTCTTCAAGTATCTGCATTTTTTGCGGGTACGAATCTATGATTCTCCCACTTCTAATGGGCTCAGTCTCGTCATGGCATGTTCCACCTGAATCCCATTCTCCACCTCTGTTTTAATCAAGAAAGTCAAGAATAAGATGGTGATTTTCTACCCTCTAGAGGCCATTACTGAACACTTGCTGCCTCTTATCAAGAAAGAGATGCTTACCCGGTCAGAGATGATAGTCACCGGTAAGTGAGGGTGGTGACTCTAGTGCTTACCGGCTAAGAGATGCTTATACTACGCTATTTTGATGATCACAAATCTTACCAGGTAAGCACTTACTAGGTTTGTGTTGATAATTGCCCCTTAGAATTGAAGAAAAGTAATGAAAGCAAAACATGGAGGTGACAGCAGAAACGCGGTATGCTATAACTATGGCACAAACCAAAGTTTGACTTCTGGGGTCAAGTAATCAAATTTGCAACATAAAACATGCAACTGCTATGTCATGTTGAGGAGGAATTGGTCAAGTCTAGCCGATATGAGACCCCAACATTCCCTCTTCAATGGAGGGTAAATGGGCGCATATTGTCAAAACCCTTAGGGGCGGCTTGGTTTGATGGAATGGTTTTGAGAGATTTGGATTTCATGAATGGATTTGGAATTGGAGGGATTTGGATTTGAAAGCTTTGGTATGTTAGGTTTGGAACCGAATTGAATTTCAATCCTAATTAATAATTTGTGATAACAAATAATAAATAATTATAAATAATTAAATTACTTTTTTATTCATTGATTATTAGAAAACAAATGGTTTTAACATATTTTTAAACATTATTATATACAAATCCTACGAAATCCCGTGAAAATCCCAACCTCCCACTTAGGATTTCAAAATCTTATGTTCGATGGATTTCAAATCCGAATAATTTCACAAACCAAACACAGGATTAGAATGGATTTGAATTCAATTCCCCAAAACCCATTCCATTCTTGCAAATCAAATGGGACCTTAAAGTGGTAGACAATGTGAGAATATATGTGGAACCCCATTAAATTATTCTTCAAAAGAGCATGGAGGTTTCAACATATATTGAGGAGAAAGGGTCCAAGGCTAGTCGATGTGGGATTCAACAAAATCCCTGTTTCTACAACGGAGTAATAAGAACGAGTCTAGGAAAACAGTACCTGAAATGGGCAGATGAGTAGCCGCGGTAAAAGACCAACTTTTCTTGATCCATATTCTTATCAATCCATTTTCCCCATGTCTTCATTGATCTCCTAAAAGCTTCCACAGCATCAAACTTGGGATAAAGGTAACCCCCCTCTGTAAAATAATTTTTCCTGCAACACCAACATTTTTCTTGATTGTAACAGATGCATATCTGACCTTTTATATGATCAACAAGATGTTATGAAAAGATGAGAGGAAAAGAAAATTCATGGATTCAAACAAGCAATCCCGGCAACAATCTCAAGTGGCTGAAATTTTATAGTAAGTTATACCAGCAACTATTCAACAATATCTGGGATTAACAAATCACTTGATGAACATATATGACACTAAGGGCATGTTTGTTAGCAGCTTAATAGGACTCACAGATTATTCTATCAGCTAAACATGACTGTTTGGTAGTGGCTTATTCAGTAAGCTTCTAAGGGGAGCTTTATGCAGAAAGCCAAGTTTTTTCTAAACCTGCCCCTCCCAATTAAAAAACACGCTCCTTCCATCTATGAACAAACTCTCCCAAATAAAAACCTTCCCAATCTATACAGATAGATTAATCTACACAGACAGCTTTATCCGTAAACGTAATGGAAAACCCGAACATCCCCTGAGTTGATTGGCTTTGAAATAGAACCCCCAGAGGTTAATATGGTATTATGATCTGCTTCAGGGAAGTACAACTATTGTGATGTGCATATATATGGTCACAAAAAACATTTACCAATGGTCAATTGGCTCAAAAGTTTAGCAATTGGTTATGGAGCTCGAGTTAGCTTGTAAACCTGAGCACTGCATCACCAATCCAACTCCGTGATGAGTTAATTACAGGCCCTTACCACAGTTTATAGCTCTTATATTTTTCTATCTGAAGATGATTAAAAAAACTGACTGTTTTGTTCTTCAATGAAGGTTATGGGATACAAGGAATGAGAATCAATATTGCTGGTTGGCTTGGTATAACAGAATAGTGAGATGATGTGGAACCCCATTTGATTACTCTCCAAAAGAGCCTTTGAGATGAGGAGGTTCCAACATATATTTAGGAGAATGGTCCAATTGTGGCTTATGTGGGACTTCAACAAGAATGAGCATTTACCGATTTGGGTAATGGGTCATTCCTGTCTAAATGGAGGGAATGAAAAATCACACATCACTATTCTCATTCCCCAATGTTCTCATCACCATTCCCATGCTCATTTGGATCCTGTCTAAATTAAGGATTGAAAAATCATTCTTAGGCATACTCATTCCCCAGTGTCGGTCTTATTTTTATGGTGGCGAAAGAAATGTGGATGTGCTGAAGATGGACTCACAGAACGGTAAAAATGGTAGAAATGAATGAAAATTGACTATGTCGAATGACACACTTCTGAAGTTCTTGGGTGTAAATGTAGCATCAACCATGCAAAATTTCTCATAATTTGTTTTTTGCATGTTGAAAAAAAAATCTACAGGAGCCTACAACATTATAAGAGATTCTTATGATTAAGAAGAATAATTTAATGTGAAAAATAAATTAAAAAAGTACAGAAATTAAACTACACAAGAATCGGCATACATACCCCCTACTAGTTTTTCCATGAACCCACCAATGTCCAGTATTAAAGACAAGAATGTCAGCCCGCTTCCAACGTCCAGCTGATTTATCAATTTTATCCATTGATAATGTTGGATTCGAGTTTCCTTGCCCATTGATTCGAATTCCTTCCCTCACGAGAAAATGAGAGCGCAAAAACTCAACTGTGCAGTTATAATCCTGCCAAAAGATAGCTTTAGTCCTTACTTTTTTAATGGAATTTCAGTGATAAATATAAAGGCTGTGTGCCCGGATCTTCAAGGTGTTGCAAAAAGATGTCATATGAGGCTGGAAAGGCAAATTGACATGCATTTATTTAGGCCATTTAGTACTTTTTTGTTCTGTTGGCCCTGTTTACTTGATGTGAGATACGAGGTTGGGACACATAAGATGGAGAAAAGCAAATTGAGTATGGTGGAAAATGGTATAAAAGAATGACACCCCCTAATAACACTTATAAGAAGACTAACTTTAGGAACAAAATTATAGACATAAAGGTCTCGTTTTAAGGACATGAAAATCCCTATTATTACCTCAAATTTAAAGACAAAATAACCTCTTCCCTTGGTTATTTTGTAGCCATGAATTTCGTACATTTTGCTCTTGTTAGGAAGGCTTTCATAGAGAAGGCAAAGAAGTGACTCATATTGATTCCGGTTCATAGAGTCTCCGATGAGCATTAATCTCTTTCCTCTTAGTCTCACCAAGAAATCAGTTGCATTGAACCTAAACACATAAATAGCCATAATTAATAATCAGTCACATATATAGTACTCATTTCCGCATACTAAGGGATACCCCAATATCCCTATTTGGCACCATTTTGCATTAAAACGAAAGCTGATGCATATGTCTACCATCACACATGCACAAGGTAGACCACTAAAGAGAGCAAAAGGATCACAAATTGCGCCAAGATCTAAACATAATGTCTAGGCTACCTCTAGTATCTAATACAATATATATATATATATATACACATTTATATATGTGTGTGTGTGTGTTTCTAAATAAGCAAAAATACCTGCAAGAACAAAATCATTCTTCTACTTTTGTTGCCTTATCTGCTGTCCCAAAAACAAATGAATTTTTTCCCTTTTTCAGGATTTCCCAGAAAAAGATCAACATTTTCTCTAACATCCTAAAAGGGCATTAAAATCTTTCTACATTAATTGTTAAATTACTGGATAATAACTACTATTATCTAATTCATTAATGAGCTTAGACTTCAATAGATGGTTTTCTTTGTTAATTTAAATTCATCAGTAAACATACATGTTTTCAAATGATTGACCTGGCTACAATGAAAAAATCCATATCTGTTAACAATTTCAAAAAATTGATCTTGATTACTTCCAACTATACAATATTTTCCTAAATCAATTAGACTCATTTCCCTCTAAAATGACATAGAGAAACTCAATGCCACGAGTAAGGATAACCACAATCTGTCTATATAGAATGAGAATGTTCTTGTATGAGTTTTCTGATAGGGGCAGGTTTGGAAAAAACTTGCATAAAGCTCCCTCCCAAGAGAATAAGCCACTTTCTATATCATTAAACCACTATCAATGTATACTTAAGCAAATAAGCTGCGAGTCCCATTTAGTTATTACAAGATCCACCAGAAGCCAGTGGTGCTCAATTGAACTTCTTTTGCTTATACATGGTAGAATTTAAGGAAGACATTATTCCAATTGATTTAAGTTATACCCTTAACTCCTGGGTCCTCTCCCTTAATTCCAAATTCTAGTACATTACTATCTCAAAGGAAAATTAGATCATCTATGATCAGTTAGTGTATAAACGAGGTAAAATCAAAAGAATTAAGCACATTACTACTATTGAATGTTAACAGCCATTAAAGAACAAACCTTGGAAGCTCACATGCATCAGGCTCCCACCGCCATTTCATATATTCTTCATCAGATCTTCCATTAGCTTCACAATCAAAAGCTTCATCAACAAAAGGGCAAGACCCAGGTTTATAAATTGGGTACTCTTCATCTTTCACCCATTTCCCAGAATGCATATTACAACTCCTCCCCCAATCCACACTCTTCTTAACTAATTCCGCAACTTGCTCGTCTTCATGAACCTGGGTTTTCTCTACAACCCCAGTTCGATTTTCTGAAACTGAGTCATCATTGACCAATTCCAAATCATTTAGGGGAAGTGGGTTTTCCTCTGGAGACTCACCGAACCCAGTTTCATTTATCGAAATTGAGTCATCATTAAGGAATTCCAATTCTTTTGACTTGGTTTGAAGCAATGGGGTTTTGTCAATAGACTGAGTCTCAACAAACCCAATTCCAGTATTGGATTTGGAGTTGTCGATCACAGGATCTGGAAGTCGGTTGTTCGGATCTGTTATTGTTGTGTAAACAGATAAACGGGAATCGAGAGTTCCTTTGCTAAAGAGGACAATGGTTGCGAGGAATATTAAGAGTAAGAAGACGATGGGGAGTGTGTAGCGATTCTTGTGTGGGTTTCTAGTTGTTGTCATTCTTCTTGGGTGTGGAGTGACATGTTAATGTTCTTCAAATTCTTATCTTTCTTCAGAAAATCAGGAGAAGATCATCTATTTTCACTTTTCACATAAGTAAACTACGATTTTCGTCCCTCTAATTGGAGAAAGATGATGATTTTAGCCTCTTCAATTTTGAAATTACGATCCCCCTACCTATGAATATGAAATTTATTCCCTTTAATTTTGAAATTACTATTTTGGTTTCTATGAATATGAATTGTAATTTTCATCTATGATATTAAGGGGATGTTTGGCAATGGTATGGTATATAATGATTAAATGGACAGAATGATTAAGAGACTTTTATGATATTGTGTAAAATAAAATATAATTGTTGAATGGTTAAAGAAGGTTTTAAAATCATTAAGAGACTTAATTTTTTTTGCCAAGCAAAATTGATCTCTTAACAATTAAAAAATTGTCTCTTAATAAAACTATTAAGAGTTAAACCAAATAAGCTCTAAATATGTTAAAACTCTTTCATTAACTTAAAGATATTTTAGATTTTTTGATATATTTTTCTTTTTCAGTTTATGAAATATATGTTTTGATTTCTTTTTTCTTATTTTTGTCTTTCTTATTTAGTAAAACTATATAATTTTTATTAAAAAGTTGGTACAATAATATATATATATATATATATATTATTTTGTTATTGTTTATGATAAAAATAATTAAAGTATTTTTAGTATAACTAGGCATTTTATATTTTTAATCATTATAGTTTAGTTCTTTATGAGTTCGATTTCTATCACTAACATCGTTCAACTACAACTCGATGAGTATTTGTCATATAAAAATATTTTAATTCTTTATATTTCATTTACAAAACCCCAAACGATTCTATAACTTGCAATTTTGGTTATGTAGATTTATTTTTCGTTTTGGTGCTTAAAAAATTCTTTTAACTTCACATTAATGATCGTTTACTAACACAAACTAGATAAACGTTTATCGAATAAGAGTCATCTTTCTCACTGGCTTACAATGGCGGACCTAAGATTTTCGTTGAGCTGTTGGACCTTTACGGTGGATCAATGCCCCACAAAGTCATCCGATACATTTTTAGTTGAATTCTGTCGTTTCGAAGGATTAGCTTTTTGATTGATTTCGATGGACTTTTTTGGTTTTCTTGTTGATTCCGAAAGATGTTTTTGGTTTTTTCTTTGTTGATTTCATGCCACTCTTTTCGGTTTTGTTTGGTGTTCCCCATATTTTTTAATATCTCAAAGCATCCTTCAAAGTTTAATGTGTGCACCTTTCATACCAAAAAACTTATATTTATGAAAATAAGTGGAGTACTTGAGCGAGTACACGAGACCTTGCTTGGGGCTTAATAGGTCTACCCCTGCTTCTTTATTGGGTAAAATTCTCAGTCACAATAACATAGTATACACGTCTCTTACCCAATAAACATTAATCGTATAAAAATTGTCATCCTGTTTACCAGATAATTGGATAAGATTCTTGGTTAATAAAAGGACACATTAAAATTAATAGAAAAGATCATCATTTTTATAAGGTAAGTGTTTCTTACCCTGTAAAACACAATAAACATTTACTTAATTAACCGATAAAAGTACTTAAGTATATTTATTTAATAAAAACCCTATAATCATAAAATATTTGATGAGGTTATGTATAATCAAATGATTTAATATTTTTATCCTCAAAACCTAATTTTCTTGTAGTAAATACTACATAATTATTAAAATTTGATTATTTTGACTTTAAAATTTAGAGACTCGTTTATGAAATGGTAATATTTTGATTATACCTTAGATGAGCATTCCTATATTATTTAGTGTAACAACCCACAATTTCTTTAAATTGATAATTCACATAATCATATCTATGAAGCAAAAACGCAATATTATTTACATAACATGAGATATTATGGGATAACAAAAACTTTGTTTAATACACTTATAAACATCTAAACACTATTGATTAAATTTCCCCTTGCCTTTGTCTTGTGATGTATGATGACCTGCAAAACAAAGTAGTCCAACAATTGAGCATTAGACCCAAAAGGTCTAGTGAGTGTACAAAACTCATACAAACAACTCACATTCCAATCTAGTAGTTTTAGAAACAGACCTGTACAGTCATAAGTATTTTTTTATATCTATATTTATTATAGATTATCTCTCTCATGCGGTTACATCGCCATTATATCTCTCTCGCGGTTACACCGCCATTATATCTTTCTCGCGGTTACAACGCCATTATATCTTTCTTGCGGTTACACCGCCATTATATCTCTCTCGCGGTTACATCGCCATTGCATCTCTCTCGCGGTTACACCGCCATTGCATCTCTCTCGCGGTTACACTGCCATTGCATCTCTCTCACGGTTACACCGCCATTATATCTTTCTCATTAAATCCATTGTATGAAATTTTGGTATAACCTTGACCGGACTTGTAATCCGGTCAACTTCAACCGGATAAATAATCCGGACACTGGCCGGATAAGATATCCGGACAACACACTTAGGATAAGAGTTCCACTTCAATCCGGATGAGTCTTAAGCGATTTAGCCATTAATCCGAATAACTCTTGACCGACTTAAGAAGTAAACCAAATGATACTTGACCGATTTAGGGTTTACATCGTAAGAGCCTTCGTCCGGTTTAAGATGAATCCCGACAACCTTCGTCCGATTTAAGATGAATTCGGACAACATATATGTGACAACTGTCAAATTTGAACTTTCAGGTTAGCTCTTATTAAGATTATATTAGTGTTATTGAAGATAATCTATAAGATTAGGAGTTAGTTAGATTAGTTTGGCCGAAAAATTTCTAGAGTTTCCGGTAGTTGCTTAGAAAGTTCGATTCCTACCCGTAACTATTTGAAACGTCCTATACAGTGCCAAATGCTCCAATTTATACCCAATTTATATAAAACACAAAGTTTTAGTGTTTTAAATATAAAACTTTTTTATTTAAATGAATTTAGCCATCATGGATTTATAGTTTGAGAAAAATGACATTCTAGCATTTTTGGGCTTAATGTTAAAAAAATATATATATATATATATATATATATATTTTGGGCT